TTGAGGGGGCCATTTAGAGATCTGGGGCAAAAATTTGGGATTGGTCCTGCTTTGAGCAGGGGGTTGGACTAGATGACCTTCTGAGGTCCCTTCCAACCCTGATATTCCATGATTTAGTTTCTCTGCAATGACTTTATCGTCTTTAAGTACTCCTTTTGTATCTCGATTGTCCAGGGGCCCCACTAGTTGTTTAGCAGGCTTCCAGCTTCTGATGTACTTAAACATTGTGTTTATTACCTTCTGAGGTTTTGGGCTAACTGTTCTTCAAACTCCTTTTTGGCTTTTCTAATTACATTTTTACACTTAATTTGACAGTGTTTATGCTCCTTTCTATTTACCTCACTACGATCTGACTTCCACTTTTTAAAAGATGCCTTTTTCATCTCTCACTGCTTCTTCTACATGGTTGTTAAGCCATGGTGGCTCTTTTTTAGTTTTTTAATAGTTTAGTTCTAGGCTGTAGTGGGCAATACAGAAGGAGAGGAATTCCTTCCTTAAGTATTAGTATGATACTTGGGGACCTCTGAACAATGCTTCTGAACAGGAATTAAGGTCAAGCATTTTATAAACATGTTAATGGGTGATCAATTGGAAAATTTTCTGATTCTTCTGTGGTGGCTGATGCTTCATCATCTGCCAAGATGTTACTGCAGAGCATGCTGAATGGGCTTTGATCCACTCAGACGGTTTATCTTTGGAACTCGCTGATGCAGAGTTTGACTATGAAAACTCTAGACATTTTCAGACCCAGGTTCGGAAGGTAAAGGAAAGCAATGATTACACCCTGAACTAGAAGATTCTACGATGATAAAATTTAAGAATGCGTCTCATACTCATAATGTGCAATGCTCTTTAGGGTAAAACTAAAGTAATGAACTCCCTCGATGTATGGAAAAAAGTTCCTTTGTAATTACTGATTCTGGGAATTATTCTGGAATAGTAAGTGACTGTCTTTGTGGAAAAAATAATAAAGCTTGTGCCTTCTAAGAGCAGACACTCTTCTTGCTGACATAATTGCAACCCGGAATCATGATTCTGTAAAGAAAATGTATGGAATTTACATCTTGTGTCTCAGTGAATAGGTTGTGAAGACTGCAGATCCGTAGATCTGCAGGAAGAGAGGATGGGTCTGACTGCTGGTTTGGACAGATGTACTACCCTATGGAATCTTGAAATACCTGCTTAATATTTCAATGATCTGAGCTTATAACACTATTTAATGCTGAGACAAAAAGAAACAAGTGGGAGATTTCAGACCAAAGAAATCCAGAACTACAGTTTCTGATTTCCTAGGATCTCTCTCCAAGCACCTGAAAGAATTTTGTCCAAATTTGTGTGTAGGCAGAGAAGATGAAAGGCTAGAAGAGTTTATTACTTAGGATGAACATCCCATCCTATTTAGGACTTGATGATCAATGACCAAGCTGTCAGTTTCAGGTAGTCAAGATTGGGATTCTGCAGCAGGATCTGCAACAGAGCATCCTAATTGGTGAGAAATTGAAATAAGACCATTAGGATAACCCCAGTAGGTCCAATCTGTGTTAACAATGATTATGCCTTCATCTTTTTAATTGCTTCTCCTTACAGTGGAAGGGATGGGGCCTTGGAAGCACACAAAGAAACCATTTAGGCCCTCTGTGAACCAGAACATATCCTCAGTTAACCTTGGTCTGTTTCCCTTAACTCTCCATTCCAACTGGATGGAAATATAACTATATGAGGGATAGCTTGGCTCTCTGGATATTTGCTGGAATACTTCTTCATTCAACCCATTCTGGGTTGTCTACCTGAAGAAAACTTAGTCCACTTTTTGGTTTTATGGTATCCTTTTATTTTGATCTTGATTGAAATAGGAGAATTCGTGCTTAAGCATTTAGACTTGAGATTCTTTGCACTCCCTCATTGATTTATATACGTAATGATCATTGTGTTGCCCGACTGCCAGAACAGCCAACCTGATTTCTCATCCCTAGGAAGCTGGTGGTATGGAAAAGGCTGGCCTCTTGACTGAAGAAAAGGTTCTATCATCACATGGACTTCCTGTTTCTACCAGCAGAGGGACAATCACAGTAGATGGCATCCTCATTTTCCTCTGCGTCTTGTTTGAATGGTCCTGGAACTCCTGAAACTCACATGCAGTCTTGTATATATTCATGTGACCAGAAGACCTGGGAGCTGCAGGTAAGGATGGACTGGTGTTCCTCCACAACGTAATGCCTTAGATCAGTGCCTGAATCTAGTCAAGCTTTTCCTATGTCAGGAACACACTGGCCCTCCTTGTATTTATCAACTTCTAAGCAACTATGTTGCCTAACAAGGGGTATATATGAGTTCCTACAGTCCAGAGTCTTGCTATCACCACTTATTTTTGACAAAAATCTGGAGGCAGAGGATAGACCTAATTGCAATACTCTGCACTGGCAGTTTGGTAGGTGAAATTAATAAACTGCTGATAGCAGTTAAGCTTCTGTCAGGGTCCAGCAATATCAGATCATATGCAGGAGATTCTGCTGCTATACTGGAAGAGTGCCCTGTATTTTAATCTTCAGCTACCTGTTCAGTTTCTTGATGTCTAGGATGATCTGGACTTCACCTGATCTATTGCTTAATATGAAAATAGAGTAGACCCTGAGGTATCTTTGGTCTTAAAAAGACAAGCTCTATTGCCCCAACTTGCAATAAATGTGTTATTCAGTATGGATTGATGTTTGTTACTCTTCAAGGTTTGAGACAGAAAGAAGGAAGAATGTGGAGGAGACAACCCCAAAGTATTCTTGCTATGCTCTAGTACCCACTGTCTGATATGCTCTAGTACCCACTGTCTTGCTATGCTCTAGTACCCACTGTCGAGTCATGAGTCTGTTGCGGACAGTCTCTTCCCCATGTCAGAGATCTCCCATTCCTCCCTTACAACCTCTTTGAAGAAAGAGAAGGGGAACTGCAAATTCTGACTTAATACTGAATAATATTTGCCCTTGGATATCAATTGTTCATCCTCCATTTTGGATGGATCTCAATGGGGAAATCACCTTTCTTGCCCATTACCTTGAACATGTCTGTGGAGAAATGACCTCTTCTGGTTCTCTAGCTCAGGGTTACAAAGGTTTAAAGTCAAGAGTACTCCTTTCATGAGATTAACTACAGCTGGAGCTAGAAGAGAAGGATAAGGATCTGGAATGCTTCCCAACTATTGAATTCCTCTTTGTTCTGCCCTTTTGGAATTCTTTGCCTTATCTTTCTCCCCCATCTGAGAACTGGTCCCTTTTTCAGGACTTAACCATGCTCTGGGCCCCTGTGCCCTTCATCATCTGATATGCACTTAGTAAGGAAATGAAGGGAAAGGTCCTTGAAGGAGCCTAGATCCTCCTTTGGAGGGAAACCAAGTTAGAATAAATACCAGATTTCTTGACAAGGACTGCAATTATCACTTTAAGAATGTGAGAAGAGACTTTTGAGCTTGTTGCCTTAGTCGTGGACTGGACCAATGGGGAAGGAGTTAATGGGAAAAATCCATGATCAGCAAGCATTGACCGGACTGTAGATTTACAGGCACTAAACAGGATCTGAATAGGACTGATTCACCCTTGAAGAGAAGTCTGAGCGGTTAAGGTAAAGAATGGAAAAGCCCAACCAACGTTAAGAATCTGAGCCCATTTTTGGCAAAGTGCTTTTAGGCTGGGAGAATTGCGACAGAACTCCCCCTCCGGAGATGGAAGACCTCTTAAATGGTTCACCTGCTCCATTTGGTCACAACTGCACATCATGCTCAGGAAAAGAAGAAATAGAGGTAAAGAAGACTGATGGGTGCTTTAATTTGGTGCACCATGCCCCTAAAAACTGCCCCTGGATGAAGACTGAAAAGAAGAGAAATACTGCTCACTGCTACTCCAAGTCTGCCTTTTTAAACACAAGTATGATAATGGAAAAAGTGAGAAATCAAAGCTGCTGTTATTTGCATGGCCAGAAGCAGGAATTCTGCAGTATGCCTAAGGATATGGCTGAGCCTCATGAACGAGATTATGTTCAAAATGGGAGAAGAGGTCATGACCCAGAAAAGTGAATTAGCACCTATTGGCAGGTCTGACACATCGGTGCCAAATTTTCCTTCTTTACTGAAGAAAGGAGAAATAAAGAAATGACTGACAACTGAACAGCAAAGTGAAACATGTATCCCTTCAAAGAACCACAAGTTTCACTTTTATTTTAAAAAACTAGTCAAAGCTAAGAACAAGCACTAGCTGTAGGATTTAGTTTATAGCACTTAGCTGTTGCACAACTAATAACAGATTTAAAAAATATGACATGCCATATAAAACCTATAGAAATGGCATTCATTTGTAGCAAGCTTTGTTATAAAAAACTAGACTAAACAAAAGACAATAATAAAAATAAAAAGACATAAAAGTGGTCATCTAAGAGCAAATGTTAAACAGATGAACTTCCAAACCAGGAAGATATACAACAACTTTATAAAACACACTTCAAATTTCCAGATTCCCAAAGGCAACATAAAAGAAAGAATGAACTCCAAATATTGGAAGATTTTTTAAAAATTTGTATTTAAGTTGAAAAAGATTAAAAAAATAATGCTACTTTGCCACTCAATAATTAAATATGGGATGTTTCATATGTTACACAGTGTAGTTTCTTTGGAAATCATGTTTGCTTAAAAAAAACAAACCAAAAAAACACTTCTACATCTGTTCCTCAACGCCAGCTAGGGAGTAAAGGAATTTTAAGAAGAAATATACACTTTCCCTCCCCGAATGTGGAACACTGCCCATTGCTGACTGATAGCACAATGAAAAGATAACATTTTAATTACAGTAAGATTTCCTGGCACAATGTGCTCAATTACTACAATAGAAGAACCTAAGCCAATTGACTGTGGCATTAAACAGTTATATTTTTATTGCTAAAACTCTGCCAAATCAAACGTGAACACCATTTTCCCCTTACAAAGATCTACTTTTTTAACAAACCAAAAATGAATAACATACCCATTTTTTTGTAGTACTCTTCCCAAGCTTTGGTGTAATCAACCTGCCCTGCTGGTGCTGGATTTGGTTGTTCTCCTGATTTATAGGAAGTAAAAATAAAATAATGCATAAATTTAGTTATATACTTAAACAAAATGTTTGTATACTAACATTTCCAAGCATCCAGCTATTAATTAATTTGAAACAAAAAATGGCTTAAATATTTACATATAATTTACTTATGAATGCAATTAATCTGCTACAACACACTATAAAAATAAGCTTATTTACTAGCTAATGCTAAAATAACAAAACTGTACATAATCATTAGTTCAAAACTTAATACTTTAAATTTCAAGAATTCAAGAAATCTATAACACTCACATACTGTGCAAATGCCACTTGCAGTCTAAAATGTTTTAGACCAGGTGCACACACAAAGTTGTACAGATATAAATCACGGTGTGATTTTATACTGATTTAGTTAAACTGGTATGACTTTGTGCTTGGACTCCCATATTGGTTTAAACGAGACATATCAGTTGAGTTTGCACCTGTAAATTTAAAAACCTACTTGCTTACAAAAATCAGACATAAAAATACAGACGTGTCACAGCACACTATTATGGAAAAATTGCTTACTTTCTCATTTTATCTGTATGAAATTTTAGTTTGTATTAACTTCACTAGTGCTTTTTATGTAGCCTGTTGTAAAACCAGGCAAATATCTAGATGAGTTAATGTATCCCCTAGAAGGCCTCTGCATACCCCCAGGATATGGGTACCCCTGGTTGAGAACCACTATTTTAAAGTATCAGAAGGGTAGCCGTGTTAGTCTGGATCTGTAAAAGCGGCAAAGAGTCCTGTGGCACCTTATAGACGAAGTGGGTATCACCCACGAAACCTTATGCTCCAATACGTCTGTTAGTCTATAAGGTGCCACAGGACTCTTTGCCACCATTTGAAAGGTTATCCCTAACACTCATGAACCTGAAGCAAAGCTGCAAGTTTAAAGTTTTGGCATTAGAAGTAAGGTTTTTCCAACACAATAGGCTAATTTGCAATAAATTAGCCCTTGTATGGGAGAACCCAATCAACATTTACAGGATAAAAGTCTAGGTGGTCCACTATTTTCCTTCAATAATGAGCAGTTTTTCCTTGTAACAGATTGATCTGTGTACCTTGTCCATTAGTTTGGGTCGTAGGTGGTCCACCAGGAGGGGCTGCAGGTGGCGGCTGTGCTTGCTGCTGATAATAGTGAGCATAATAAGCTGCCCATGCTGCTGAATTGGGGTCTGTTCCTGGTTTACCTGAGAAATAAACCATCACTCTCATATAGTGTAAGCAGTAGGCTTTGTAAAAAAAAAATTCTTACAGATCAAGAATTTTTCTGGCATTCCTAATTTGTCTTCTGAGAAATTTTAATGAAATACTTAATTTTTACCGTAGCTATGTGTATATTGTAATTCATTTTAACCCATTAAGATCAACTGAATTTGGTTACACTAAAACACAAATACATTAAAAATGGAAGTTATGAAAAAATTTCTGAGCTAAGGTTATCACATTAACCAAGTCAACTTCATTGTCAAGTTTTCGTATTACAGCACACAATCTGTCATGGGGGATGGCTGGGTGTTTAGTAAATTACATATGTGCTACGAAGTGTACTTTTGTACAATATTGCTGACCTATGGGTGTTTTAGTAGCCTAACTATACAATTTACATTGCTAGAGGCGTGGTTCAGGAATTCAAAGATTTTAATTTTTTTGTATTTAAAATGTCCATGGCACTGTAACATGGACATTTTTTGTTTTGATCAACGTAACTCTGCAGAATTTCAACAAAAGTTTTCCCAATGTAATCTCACACTAACAGCATCATTTTGGGGGTAAGTATGGATATAGTGAGATGGTTTTAGCAAAGGAGTTTCATTCTTTTAAATAAGTTTGCAATTAACCTGTTTTCCCTGTTAAACATTAAAGACAGTGTTAATCACTTGGAATATGCAACAAGTGTCCCAAGATCCTGAATGCCCATCCTTGCATAGCTATGAATATCAGGCAATTTTACAGTTTTAGCTGTTAAAAGGTGTAAACCATGTTACCACTGTTACACCTACCTTCTACATATCTGATCATCTCTTTCCCTTCCATCCATTATTTTTAATTATAGCTAGAGTCTCAAATGTCTTTGCTTCCAGTCCTCTTGGTTCTCCCATTTATCCACATTCACCTTTTAGGAACAATTTACTCTTTCTGCTGAACCACATGAAGATAATTACACCACCAGTTTGCAAAAGAAGCTTTCAGGTACATCAAGGATTGGAAAACTTCATGTGGCTCAGCAGCAAATGTGGTGTGTGTTCTTGAAGCTTATGGATACCTGTTTATGAACATGGGTGGCTAATCAACAGAGTTGGAGGCAAAAAAAATTACAACTGGGATTCTCAAGACAGAACTAAGCATATGGGAAAAGGATGATTGAAACTGCACCCATGGACAAAATCAGTGAGGGAGCACCACAAACTGAACAGATGGAAAAAATTACATAGGTGCTCTGGAGAGAACTAATGGGGTAGAGCAGAGGAGAAAACAATAAAACATTACTAAAAGAAAATGAAAGCCAAATACTGAAAATGCACACAGCACTAAAACAGCATGTTCTAAATATAAGAATTTTAAAGTTAAGTATTTTAAAACACTGGGCCAGATCTCAGGGAGGAGATTTAAGACCCTCCCACCCCCCAAAAAACAAACAAACAAACAAGCATCTCTGACCTGGCTGGTCCCAAGGAACAACTTAGAGTTAACTTTTTTTTGGAGGGTGTGGTGAAAGGGATGCTGAAAGGGGGTAGTGTAGGAGCTGCTATGCCAGCCCTACCATCGAGGCATTCCCCCAGTACCAGGGGAATTCTTGTGTAGCCAGTTAGTTTGCTTTGTGGCTGCAGAACAGTGCAAAGCAAGGGACAGGATCTGGTCCACTGATTCCTACTTATTCTAAAATGCTGATACTATTATAGTCCAGTTCATCAATTACAAAATTTCAGTTTGATCCTATGATCTCTACGCTAGTACCAACCTAACACTTGAACCATCCTAATACCACCCCTAACTATACACTGAGTCACTCCTTGACTGAACACTGAATGTTTACTGAGAGAATACAAACACCAAGATCAAGGTTTGTCATTCTTTTGCTTCTGCACTCCCATGCAGTTCACACATTAATTTATTGAAAGTTTGAAGAATTGGGCTACCCATAGATGTAAACTGATTACAGTGCTCTCTAGCCCCACCAAAGGAAACTGTAACAGAGAAATTACTTTGAATAGCTCTGCTTTAAAGAACTGAAGATGGGGATATTTTTATATGAATTACTACATCTGTGCATCTCCAGTGCTGTTACAGATGTCAGAAAACTAGAATTTGAAGAATGCTTGACAAAGACCAGTAAAATGAAGAAAAAGAACTCTGCTCACAGCAGAGATGGCCAAAAGTTCTCCATCATTAGAATTACTGGGTCAGGACTAGCGTTGGTCAGAAATGGACTCCCACAGCCAAAAATGTTGACTTCTGGTGAATAACTGAAAGCCCCCCCGCTTTTTTTTTTTTTTTTTTTTTTGGTTTAAAACAAAATTTCGATTTGGAAATGCTGTAGTGACTCATAGAATTTAAGTTTTAAAGAACCTCATGCCCCTATTATCTACAGACCAGGCTCCTGGTTAGACTGCATCTCCCAAAACTGCACCACAGTCTCCTGTAGATCCACACATCATAGGTGTCCCCAGCTGTAGCGTAGCCCAGAATCTACAGTCCAGAAAGGGAACGAGATAAACTACGACCTTGTCTACACTAGAATTTACTTCGGTATAACTTACGTCACTCAGCCCAACCTTCGCACCGGTTTAGACAGCGCTATGTTGGCAGGCGAGCTTCTCTTCCCAACTGCCCTTCATGGGAGGTGGAGAAATTAGGCCAACGGGAGAGCTATCCCGTCAGCTAAGAGCATCATCACCAGAACCACTGCAGCATCAGTGCAGCTACAATGTTGCACTGCTTCTAGTGTAGATGTAGCCTGAAACTCCCATAAAACAGCAGAATTTCAAATTGCAGCCAAAATTGAAAAATATTCCCATTTACTCGTGTTTGGTTTTTCAATTGAAAGCTGGCATTTTTCCACAGAAGCAATTTTCTTTTCTAAAAAAAAATCCAATTTTCATTCAAAAGTGGTTTTGAGAGAAAAATTTTCAACTAGCACTAGCTGGGATTATTGATGAATCTTTTGTACAGCAGGAACAGAGCCTCAAGATCATACTTGTGCCATGCCAAAATGTAAATATTCTGCAAACAACACGTGCCCAAGGTTTTAAAAAAGGCAATGCAAAACTGAAAATACTGCATCACTATCACTATCATCTAAAATTTAAGATGTTTGCACTTGGAAGAGCAACCCTACAAAAAAATCACCAATTTCTCAATACAACGATGATAAATAGAGACTGTGATTATTTTCAAAGTTTCTTCAGGTGAAGATTTCTAAAAGAGGATGGACTTCAGAATAGATTATGAAAAAAATAATTAAGTACTGAGAATGAAATCCCAGAACCTGATGATCCGGAACAACTTTAATTAAATTAGAATTAATAGGGACTGAAAGTTCTGAAGAATACCCACCCCTCAAAACAGGGAAGAGAAACATGGGAAGTTTGGAGCAATTTAAGGGGCTTAATTTCATCTGGATCAACACTACTTACTCAGAAAAGATTTTGTTACAGCAGAAATAGTAAGAAACCATGTTCACTAATAAATTAGAAGGGACAATGGTCAAATGTAAAACCCCAAATCTATTTGTTAGAGAGGATCACAGAAGCATAATGTGTCAGAGGAATGCATCTGACATAGTGGTCTCTCTGAACAAAATGGGCACAAAGACAAAAATGAAAGTGAATTTAATGGGAAAAGAAAACTTCACTTCAACACTGTAAATAATTCTGATATTCAACGGACTAGGAAAACGGAAGTGAAATTGGGATGCATGCCCCCAATGTTATGCTTTCCTTAACAAGAAGAAAGCATAGTCCTGCTTTTCTGGCAACTGATTTTCCACAATTCACCACCAACACATGGTATATGTGGAAGTGCACATTCAAAGTGGGTATCAATGAAGTAGATTCCAAGGAGAAACAGCTTTTCAGATTTACTCGTATAAATAAAAAGAAAAAACACACTTTTAAAAGCAGGCCACGTACAATCATGCATTGAATGTGTGCCTGAACAAAACCTTTTATAAAAAGACTGAATTTCTTACCTGGATCTGGTGGATTTGGTGGCTGCCAGTGTGGATAGGCATTTCCCCACCCTTGTGGAGCATATGGGGCTGGAGGGCCACTGTAAAAGACAAAGAGCCACTTATAATGAAATCCAATTTGAGAATCAGCTTTTGAAAAAAAATAAGATAACTGAAGTGTTACTTACTGAGGTGCAGGACCAGGAGGCCCTGGATTATAAGGAGCAGGATTATACGGTCCCATAGGATTGCCAGGACCTGGTGGTCCAGGAGGTCCATGTGGGCCAGGAACAACACCATGGGGCCCATGAGGAACAGGTGGACCCAAAGGATTTACTGGACCCTATAACAGGAAAGAAGTGGGCGGGGGAAGAGTGACCCCCATGTTTTCACACACCGGAAACACAAGTCTGAATTCCAATAGAAGCTCATCTAAAAGGTTTCACCCAGGTGTTCTCTAAACTTTTCCTTCCAAGCGCTGATTCATTAGGAGTTCTTTCCTAGCTAGCACTCCAATGCCTTCCTCCCATTGATTTGGTTCTCAAGGACCACGCCATTACAACACCCACACTGTTTATGGACAACCTCTCCTAATAACCAACAACAGCGGGTTTAATGTATCAAGATATTCAAAAAATCAAAATACTTCATTCTGTTGACCACCAGAAAAGTCTTTATGTTCACGTACAACTGATGATTGAGAGACAGTAATTAGACAACCACTGGCTTAAACTTTACTAGTAGGATTAAAAAAAAAAAAAAAGACAGAGGATATGAATGTTCTGAACGAAGATATGAAGATATAAAACAAGTCATTCTTCATTTCAACCAGAGAATTCATTTAGAAAAATTAAATGTGACAAGTTTTACTTTTAATCAAAGGATATTGTTTCAGTTCAATTCTCTGCAAAAAAAGAACATTACCAAACTATGCATGAACTATTCTGAGCGTTGTATAAAAATCAATACAGGTTTTTTAGTCCAATTGCTCACTGTTTGCATACTTGGATACTTAATTACAAATTCCAGATGCACAAAAACTGTGAAAATAAAGTCAAGAAGAAATTATAACTATGTGCAGGCAAACAAAAATGTTTTAAATAGAAAAAGCAGCAAGACTACATTATGAACCATGACTGAAACAAATCTACCTGAAGAGAGTAAGAGGAGTTTGTAAAGAACTAAGTTAGTGTTTAATGTAGCTTTTTAAAAAACTTAATAGTTTAGTGGACCCAAATTGGTCTCCTAGGCTGTCAAATTCTTCATTATTCACAGAACAAGAACAGCAAAAACTGCATTCTGTCTTCTTCCCATTTAATCCTTCACCTCTCAGACTACCATCAAGAATGAAAATTAGGCTGTGATTATGTTTACATGTCTCATTTTACAATCAGATGCTGATTAACAACAACTTTTAGTTATTATCAACCAGTTAATAACATTTGAACAAGCAACCCAAAAGAGGGAAGAAATAGAAAACAGCCTCAGCCATTCAGTTCAACTTCCTGTATTATCTCAATTGTATCTTGAAGCAATAAGGGATGAGTGTACTGGGGGCCTTTACAGCAAGTAAAAATGCCTTTTCGAATACTCACTCCAATCTTTTCTTCTATAAGTTGCCGAGCATAATCAATTTGTTGTGGTGTCCCGCGGATAGTAAACAACTTCATGTTAGGATCTGCATTTGGTGGAGGATTTCTCTGAAGTTCTATTCTAGCCCCAGATTGCTGACTTATGCTTTTGATAGTTTCACCACCTGTAATCAAAACATCCACCTTTGATGGCAAGACATTTAACTTACATACTAAATAAGATATAAGCAAAAGCCATCTACAAGGAAGTAAGTAAACTACTAAATTACAGAGTTGATAACCTATTCTTTTCAGTTACACATGGTATACAAAAAAATAAAATATTTCCTTGGGTCTGACATATTGTAAACAGTAGAGACCCAGCCAAAAACACACAAACCAAAAAGCAAACAAAACACCAGCCCCAAGGAAAGAGACTGCAAGACAATATCAGTATCTGAAAACCAGTTCAGTAAGAAAGTCATAGAATAGTGCTTTTCTTGCACATGCAGACATGTCACTTATTTAAACTGTAACAAAGTATTAGACAGGAAGATTTCTAAAATTATAAACAGATATATACACTTCACAGAAGTGTTCAATAAAATGAATTATGCATATAGAAATCAGTAAATTTTGTTATTAAGTAAAAATAACCAGAGGAAGGGAGAAAAGATTTAGTTGCCAGTTATGTAATACTAAGAACAAGATAAAATACAGGGAAAACAGAATGAACAAAAAGAAGGAACCTCAACTTCAATTTAAAAGGACACTTAATTTTAACTGACTAACGAAAAACCCGCCTTCCAAATAATGTGCTTTAAAATAAACAAAAACCAAAAAAAAACCCCACAATATTTTTTCCCCGTCTGTTGAAGAGCACATACCTGAGCTCCTCCAGAGCAGTGCATGAATGGTGTCATCACGTTAGTATGAATGACAGAAAATACAACTGACCAACAGTGAAGTTAATTTTTGAACAAGTGCTACCAACTGTGCACAAGTAAACTAACTGAAAAGATAAGAACATTTCCCTCTCTAGTCTCCTTTATTTGCAGTAATTTCAAATGTTACTTATAACACTAATAGCTACACAGTTTTCAGATGGGAGATGCAAGCTTGTATCCATTTAAACCATGCACTAGCATTCCAAGTCAAAAGATGAACTACAACAGATCAATAATTTGTATTGTCTGAAAGACTCATTACAGATGAGTAAAAAAAGACAAAGGTAACAATCAAAGAGAATCTCTCATTTGACAGTGTAGTACATCTTAAGTTTTAATTAAAATATTTCAAAGCCTAGTATCTTCTATAAATTGTGGTATTTTGTAAAGGTAAAAAAATCTTAGTAATGAGACTTCATTTTATTAGATCTTTGCTGAAAAGTGCAGAGATTTCTTTTGACACATAACTACAGTATGTGTGATAAGGAAAGTCTAAATTAAGATCAAACTAAAGAACAGTTACACGCACTTGCACCAATTGGAAAAAGGTGAGAGATAAACATTTCAGCCTTTAGTTTTAAAAACTTCAGACTTATTGTTATATTTAAATAATCTTAGCAATGTGCACATTACTATGGCTACCAGAAAAAAAACATTCTTTCCTAAAGAAAAAGGAAATTAGTGCTGCATTAATCAACATGGATACAATGTGATTACATTGTTAAACTAAATTGAAAAAAATCAATGCACTTTTTGCCAAGATTTCTGGTATAACTAACTACACAAAAATGTTAAGTACTATGATTTCTAGTTAGAATATATTTTAGTTTAAAATATATTGCCTTTTCCAATGATTAATCCAGTTTTTCCAGTGGGTACAATAAAATTAAATTCCTGTAATCCACCAGGTGGCCCCATGTTCCAGTTGCCTTGGCCTCTACCCCTTCCTCGACCACCAGGTCCTGGACCACCAGGATTACCAGCCTAATGGAGGGGAAAAGTAACAAGTTAGCACACACTATTAAAACTTACTGCCTCATTTACCGCAATTAATTCATTAGTGACAACAGATGACTCTAGAACGAAGCCCACTGCCAACTAACAAGTGTCAGATTAATACATTTAGAGGCTTTATTATTTGTATATACACACACACACAAACAGTAACTTATACAGTTAACATTTAGTTTGATAAGGATTTTTCATTGAAGTGCTTTCAGTCATTTTATGTTCCTGCTTAATTTCAAGATTACCCCAAGTACTGACATACCACAGGAGTCCAGTGGTCTTCCTCAAAATCACTCTGAGGTGCAAGAGGAGGGAAGGAAGACCACCTGGCATCCAGTAGGTGGAAGTGAAGAGATGGGAGGGAAGGCAGTAGTGGCTGGATAAAGGGGACAGGGTTCAGAATGGTGAGGGGAAAAAGCACATTCCAGTTTCGTGTGTGCGCACATGCACATAAAGAAGTGGGTAACTGTGCTAGCCTACAGTGCCCTGGTCAGAAAAGTCTGTATAGGAAGCTTTTATGCTCCTGCATCTGATTTAGCACATAGTTGAAGCATATGCACTAAACATAGCTCCCCCTGAAGAATTAAGCAGAAGGTAATGCAGTTAAACACACAATTGCTGCTGTATTTTTTAAAGGATAACCACATACAGTACCCTGCATTTCTGCAGCTGAGAGAGGTATTCACAGACAGAAAACATAAAAATGTTGAAACCACTCCTTTTGTCCCAACCACTTTTTTAAAAAAAAGTTAAAGCTTTAAAAAAAAATAGTGTGGGAGGGCAAAAAACAGGGATTTCACAGGGAAAAGGAGAGTTCCTCACAATACAGCAACACACAATTGCCTGCCTATTTCAGATATAAAGGTGGGACCATTAGCCAATGATTAGATAAAGGGATAGTAAGGTAGTGCACTAGACAACTGTCAACTGAATAAAAGTAGTTCTAGAATAGCCAGGACAAGACATTGCTAAGGGCTTTAAACTGAACTGAAAAAAAAAATAACCACCTCATTGACTGCAAACAAGAACTGCGAACAAGTATGTTTTATAGTCCATGGTCAGTTTTCCACACAGACCCAACCAAATACTACCATTAAGTAAGGTTATTAAAATGGACAGATGGCTAAAATGTGGGTTTTTCCTAACTCAAGCTGAAATTTTATTTTTTGCACAAAATATAAATATTAGCTAACCTGGACACTTCGAAGAAGGTCTGTAATAATTTCTGCAGCATGTTGACATCTGTCCGGAGGTCCTGTAATTTGGGCTATTCTATCTGGAGTTGTTCCATCATCTGGAAAAAGAATGTAATATTTAAATCAAGCCATGTTTTACTTAAAAATAAAGCTAAGTTGATCAACATTTACACTCACACCACTCACCTGGCTTAAACTGGATTCTAACACCAGCATCATTCTGTATCTTTTTGATCATCTCTCCATTTCTTCCAATTACAATACCAACAGCAAATCGTGGTATTGGGACCTTAAGAGAATACATCATCAATATCTTGAAACAACAAATATTCCAACCAAAAGCCACAATAAAAAGGTATACTGGAAAACTGAACTGGTCACCAACCATACCACCTCAGCCTGCAATCCTGTCAAATCTAAGCAACTACAGAATCATGATCCTAGCTAGTAAATGGATAGGATGGCCAAAAAAAGGGGAAATAAATTCTAGACACCACAGGTTGTGATAGAGGCATCACTTCAGCAGATAGTGGTTTTCTCCCAGTCAGTGCCTGAACAAGGTGTTAGGGGGCCTAGGATACTGGTGTCATTGAACGATATCTCCAACGGGAACCCTCACCACTCACGGTCATTTACAATGCCATGACTTTTACAATAAAACCCCTCCAAAGCAACAGAAACTGCTGTACTTTATTGATGGCACAAGATGGCTGCTGCATTCTACAAAGAGGTGGTAGTATTTCAGTGGTGAGCAAGTGATACCTATGTGCCATAACCACTTTGGGATACAGTTAAGAGCTTTTAACATTATTAAACACTCTCAAAGTACATAGTGAACAATAGATTTTCAACCATACGTACATCTATCCCTTCATTTCCTCCTATTCTTGACCCATATTCATTGCGCGCCTCTCTAAAGCCACCTTGATCACGAATCAGCTCCAACACCATTTCCTTGGCTTGCTAAAGAAGAAAAAAATGTATTTTAGATTCTATAATTTTAAAACCGTTTTGTATACATAAAAAAGATAAAGCTGGAAACAAACTCCTTACTTGAACTTTGTAAGGGTCTCCTGTAATCCTAAGAGGTTTGTCTGCACCAGTGTTCTGTGGCCCATCTTGAATCATGACCATTTTGACTCCTGCTCGTTCCTATTTGACAATATAAAATTGAATTTCCATGCAATTCCAAATTCTGACCTCTCTCTCTCTCTCTCACACATACACACACACACCCACGTTTAAAACTTACCTGAAGTTGCTTAATGGTCTCTCCACCTTTTCCAATAACTAATCCTGCCTTACTAGCTGGAATCATAATTTCTTGGACAGCATTTCCTGGTCCATCACCATGATGAAAGCCAGGTGTAGGTCTTCCCTTTTCAACTATCTGATCAAGCAGTCTCTTTGCAGACCTGTGAGGACAGACGGACACACACACTGTTACTGCTAAATGTATTACGAACTGCGCATTGTTCCGGTTGGAAAAAATCATTTCACACAGCCATTTCAAAAAGTTTCTTCATTAAAATTTTAATAGACATTTATATATGTTGATATCCATAAGAGCTGTATTTATCAAATGCTACAGGATGCCTTCCCAGTCTAGCTTCTCTTAACATCTTTATGTGAGACTCCATGAAGATGAGCTCAGTGTGAACATGTGAATGTGATCGATTCACATCCTATCCTATCCACATCCTATTAAGAGTTCTAAAAAGAAGAGTAAACAACTCTCAGCAAATTTGCGGATGATACTAAACTGGGAGGAGTGGTAGATACGCTGGAGGGGAGGGATAGGATACAGAAGGACCTAGACAAATTGGAGGATTGGGCCAAAAGAAATCTGATGAGGTTCAATAAGGATAAGTGCAGGGTCCTGCACTTAGGACGGAAGAACCCAATGCACAGCTACAGACTAGGGACCGAATGGCTAGGCAGCAGTTCTGTGGAAAAGGACCTAGGGGTGACAGTGGACGAGAAGCTGGATATGAGTCAGCAGTGTGCCCTTGTTGCCAAGAAGGCCAATGGCATTTTGGGATGTATAAGTAGGGGCATAGCGAGCAGATCGAGGGACGTGATCGTTCCCCTCTATTCGACATTGGTGAGGCCTCATCTGGAGTACTGTCTCCAGTTTTGGGCCCCACACTTCAAGAAGGATGTGGATAAATTGGAGAGAGTCCAGCGAAGGGCAACAAAAATGATTAGGGGTCTGGAACACATGACTTATGAGAAGAGGCTGAGGGAGCTGGGATTGTTTAGCCTGCAGAAGAGAAGAATGAGGGGGGATTTGATAGCTGCTTTCAACTACCTGAAAGGGGGTTCCAAAGAGGATGGCTCTAGACTGTTCTCAATGGTAGCAGATGACAGAACGAGGAGTAATGGTCTCAAGTTGCAGTGGGGGAGGTTTAGATTGGATATTAGGAAAAACTTTTTCACTAAGAGGGTGGTGAAACACTGGAATGCGTTACCTAGGGAGGTGATAGAATCTCCTTCCTTAGAGGTTTTTAAGGTCAGGCTTGACAAAGCCCTGGCTGGGATGATTTAACTGGGAATTGGTCCTGCTTCAAGCAGGGGGGTTGGACTAGATGACCTTCTGGGGTCCCTTCCAACCCTGATATTCTATGATTCTATGAACTGTACTGGTTTAGACACCCAATTATATAATGTGAAATAAGAACGTGAACTTGTGCCCAAATATCCAAGTCCCTGAAACTGTACTGACGAGACCTGTTACCAGTCACTTTCTTCAGCTTTATGGCACTGAGCAGATATTGTGGCCGATGCTTTTCTACTTTCCTCTTCTGTGTTGTCTGTCGGTAGAGTCTGCTAAAAAGTCTTTCATTATCTTGTATTTAGGCCCACCTGTTTTTCTTACTTGTTTACTAGTTGTCCTAGCAAAACTCTACATGATATTAAGCTTCTCCTTTTCCCTTCCTTTAATATCTCAATTTTTAATTTAATTTGGACTATTGCTGAAGATGTTTCCTCCTTCCTCAGCATTAAAACAAGTTCTCAAACTATCAGATATGGTGTGGCTGATAACCTTCTTTCAGCAAATTTCAAGAAGTTCCACCAGACTTCTAGGTAGTTACCCTTTTTCCTTCTCCCCTGTAGCACTCTGATTTACCTTTTCTAGCACCAGAATTTTGCACACTTTTCAATACCAGACAGTAGGGTCTTCCACCACCATGCTACAGTAATTCTAGTTGCAGTTAGGGGATAAGTTTTTAGTTCCTTATGGCTTTTATAAGATGTTGAGTTTTAAGGACAATTTAATAAAAGCACCCAGGGGTTATTGGACAACCTATCATCTTCCTTATGAAATCTCTAAGGGCTTTCCAAAAATGTCTTAATTTTTTGGCACATTCGTCATACACGGAGAAATCCTCCTACATTCTCATTTGCCTGTCCTTGTTCCATAAATTTGTTTCCAATTTAAAGTTTTCAATGTTTATCAATAGTCACTTCCATTTTTCTAGTACAAGAAGAAACATTCCAACAATACCAACAAATTACAAAGATAAACATTACTAAAAAACCGCCTTAAATATATACAGTAGACCCGCAGAGTTTTGAACACCAGAGTTACAAACTGACCAGTCAACCACACATCTCGTTTGGAACCAGAAGTACACAATCAGGCAACAGCAGAGGCCAAAAAAAAAAAAAAAAAAAAAAAAGCAGCATATATAGTACAGTACTGTGTTAAACGTAAATTACTAAAAAATAAAGCGAAAGCAGCATTTTTCTTCTGCATAGTGAAGTTTCCAAGCTATATTACGTCATTGTTCAGCTGGAAACTTTTGAAAGAACCATCATAACATTTTGTTCAGAGTTTCAAACATTTCAGTTACAATCTCCATTTCTGAGGTGTTCGTAACTCCGAGGTTCCACTGTGTGCCATGAACTAGCTAAATAGGAAACAAACAATGTAACAATCGAACATAAAAAATAAACTGAAAATTTCTACTTTTCCCTTTAGAAGTCATTTGGGAATCAGTTTATTTAGAAACTGAGGACAATTATTCCCTCACCACCCTACTATCGCCAAAGACAGTCACTAAAACTAAATTTCACAACAGAAGTCTGAAATTCTAAACTCCTACTTATTAAGATAACATACAGGCAAGAGTCAAAGGCCTGACCAAATAAAGAGGTCCTGCACTGTGACCTGAAGCTCAGGCTTTTGTACCGTTGAAAAGATCAGGTTCCCTGCATCTTCCACTGAGAGTGACCTACCGCCAGTCTTGTAATGTTTAACCTTAATAACAGACACCTAGAGTGACCTAGAACAGAAATTCTCAACCTTTTTCTTTCTGAATCCCACAAACAAGCGCTAAAAACTCCCTGGCCTACATACACCACCACAACTGATTTTTGCATATAAAAGTGAGGGCCATAGCTAGGGGGATAGTAAGCGGGGCAATTGCCTGGGGCCCCATGCCACAGGATCCCTGCACAGCTATATTGCTCAGGCTTCAGCTTCAGCCATGAATGGCAGGGCTCAAGTAACCAGGCTTCAGACCATGCAGTGGAGCTTTGGCTGTCTGCCCTGGGCCCCAGTGAATCTTAACGCTGACCCTGCTTGGCACCCCTCCAAAATCTACTCGCGGCCCCTGGGGACCCCGGACCCCTGGTTGAGAACCACTGTCCCAGAAGAACTCAACTACTGGGATGTAGGGAGAGGGGCATTCTTTCAGCTATCTTGGTTTCAAACTGTTTAGGGATTTACAGATTAATATTTACTATAAATTTACCATAAATCTACAGTTTTATTATATAGAAAAAAATGTATTCCCTGTCCCAAACTGCTTAAAATCCAAATTAAGATCACTACAAAACAGAAGGAGACTATTAGCAGAGAGAGTAAGGAGTAGGAAGATTTTAGAAATGTTGCAGAGAGAAATACTGGCTTAAGGAGAGGAGGAAGGAGCTGAAATGGAAATAAAGAGAGGATGGTGTAACTGTTGACAATTAAAGAAAGAAGTAGTCAGGGACATCTAGGAACAGATATCCAGAGAAGCAGTTGGGAATAGTCTGAACCAGGGGTTCTCAAACTGGGGGTCGGGACCCCCTCAGGGGCTTGTGAGGTTATTACATACAGGGTCGTGAGCTGTCAACCTCCACCCCAAACCCCGCTTGCCTCCAGCATTTAAAATGGTGTTAAATATATTTAAAAAGTGTGTTTAGCTTATTAGGGGGTGTCGCACTCAGAGGCTTGCTGTGTCAAAGGGGTCACCTCTAAAAAAAAGTTTGAGACCCACTGGTCTGAACACAAGGGGAGAGAAATCAGATCAATCAATCAATGTTGAGATGCTCCAGGGCATGAGACGGGGAAGGGCCCTTTCCCAGAAGGCTGGAAGGAGGAGACTCAAACAGAGCCTCCTATGAGCCCCAGCTCTGGGGCATTGTGCCATCACACACAGGGAGGGAAAGGTCTCATTGTCTGTGTCCAATCAGGAAATAAGGTTCCACCTCACCTCACCTCCTCCCACTTGGGTATGCTTCCCTCCCAGTCCTTCTGAACAGCAGCAGACAGGCAGCTGGGGATGGTGGAACAAAAAATGTCCAAGCTGCAGCTCGTGGGCCATATGTCTAACATCTTCACACCAGGTACTTCCTCAGACATTTCAACATTACTTCTACTCTCTAATATTTTTAAATCAATTATTTTCCCAGCAAGGTCCTTATAATGTAAGGACTTTAGAAGAGCACAGACTGCATTATCTGGGTTTGATAAGGATGCCCAGATTTCACAATGGTTACATAGCAGGCTGCAACTCTTCTCCACAGGCCTAAGCATACTCTCCTGTTGAGTGTAACAAGAGGCAACTCTGCATAACTAAAGCCTACTGAGTCCTGTGGGAGGAAAGTAATTGTTCCTCTATTGCTGCAAGAAGCACAAATGAATACACCCAATAACAGGTCAAATAAATATTTTTATAATATTTTAGTTTACCAACAACCATCATTTAAAGAGTCAGGTAATTCCGATTCAAATTTACATTAAAAAAACAAACAAAAAAACCCCCCAAAGATCTGAAAATGGATATTAAGGAATATGCTTTCCTCCCCAGGTTCTGTGCAAAAAAATCCAAAAGAGGAAAACAAACCTGTCCCCAAACCTGGCTCTTTCTGATTCCCAGCACTCTTTCAGAAGCTGCAGGAACCAAAAATCAGCTCTTCAGTTCTCAACAACCCATGCTAATGTTAGGGAAAAAGAGTTTCCCTCCCGTCTAGGGTTGGGAGGGTAGCCTTCCCTGTATTAGCCAAACAAACACAGAGTCAGGACTCTAAGATAAAATGAGGCACTTTAATGCTAGCAAGTACAACAGCTGAAGGGCTCACCAATTCCTACACAGAGGAATATGGCGAAGCCCAGTCACTAACACTGCTATTTACAAAACTATTTTTTAAAAATCCATCACCTCATCTTAGGTTCTAGGTTCTGTGCATTATAGCTCACCTTGATGAATCCAGTAAACCATAATTTAAAACTTCTCTCTCTCTTTAAATACTATAACTATCAAAAAACATTTAAACTCTGGTGAAATTCTTTGCATGTCATAATTGACAAAACCTCTTATCCAATTAATTTCAAATTTCATAGACTGTGGCCAAGATAAACAGACTGTCAATCTTCAGGAAGGTATTTCCCTTTGTATGTTAAATTTTACACAAATACCAAAATAAAGCTTGTAAAAAATTCAGTTGTAATTCTAAATTTGGATAGGTAGCTGCTGCCCCATATTGATAACAACGGCTGCAGATGTCATTTAACAAGATCAGCATGGATCCTTTTTAGGTGGATGGACAACAGTAAGTCTGTTTTTAACCCCAGTCTAAACCACATTTGTCCAGATCAAAGATAAAGTTAGGACTGAAATTGCTACAATACCTCTCTCAAACATCTGCCCCCAAATTATGGTCACAGTAGATAACTGGCAAGAATATTCACATTAAGAGATAGCTTCCTGAAGAGCGAACCCGCCACAGTTACTGAAAAATGGATGGATTTCCAAAGAGCAATACCAACTGCCATCAACTGACCCCAGATCTCCCAGCAGGCCTTACCAAAAATGTAAGAGCACAGGGGGCTAGCACACAGGCACTGGGACAAAAATCCATTCCATCTAACATCTCCTCAAACAAAACCAGAGTAAATTAGACTCAGAGGCAACAGTCTCCCACATTGACACTGCCTTTACAGTGCTGCACAAATAAGCCTGGATACACATTGACTTTTCAATTAAATTGAAAGAAAACTGCTCAACACTAACAGCTAGGGCTGGCCACATCAACTAGACCAGTGGTTCTCACACTTTTTTTACTGCAGACCACTTGAAAATTGCTGAGGGTCTCGGTGAACCACTTAATGATCTTTCCAAATGTTGTTTGTACCATTAGTTAACTATTATAAAGCTCTTTGGATAAAAGCGCTATATAAAAAAAACCTTAACAGTAATTAACGTGGTTTTTTTCTTCTACAAATAAAAACACACAACTCATATTTTAGTACCAGCAGTCTTACCTTTCTAATGCGATGGAGGTGCCCTCTCTCCCCCGCTGCCACAGCCAAACTGTCAATTGGAAGGAGGGGGATCTCTCCCCGGCAGCTGCAGCCTGAAGCTAGGGAAAGTCGTCTTTCTCTGGCCGCTGCAGTCCTGCACATCCCAAATCCCCTCCCACCACCACCTTCGTCTCACTCCACTTCCCCCTCCCACCTATTCCTCCAAAGGCCACCACCTCACCTTATATGTGCATCTTCTCCAGGGTCCAGGCATCTAATTAGTGGAACCACACCTGCGCAGCTCCACTAATTAGGTGGGTGGCCCTTCATTCTCATGTGCAGCCAGCCAGGCGCACACCTCAGAGGGGAACTATCCGGGGACCACCTGAATGGAGTCCGTGGACCACAGTTCGAGAATCTCGGCACTTGACTTTCCAGCATTCAACTGGAATATACTCTGCTGCTGATATGCCAGACAAAGTGTAATTTCACAGCTTAACCCACCACAGCACAGGATGGTGAAAATTCTCTCTGCTGATGCAAGTCTTCTATCAATAGGTACAGGTCATCTAAACCAGTGGTTCTCAAAGCCGGTCTGCCGCTTGTTCAGGGAAAGCCCCTGGCGGGCCAGACCGGTTTGTTTACCTGCCGCGTCAGCAGGTTCGGCCGATCGCGGCTCCCACTGGCTGTGGTTCGCCGCTCCAGGCCAACGGGGGCTGTGGGAAGCGGCGTGGGCCAAGGGATGTGCTGGCCATCCTTCCCACAGCCCCCATTGGCCTGGAGCGGCGAACCGCAGCCAGTGGTAGCTGCGATCGGCCGAACCTGCCGACGCGGCAGGTAAATAAACCGGTCCAGCCGGCCAGGGGCTTTCCCTGAACAAGCAGTGGACTGGCTTTGAGAACCACTGATCTAAACCATAAAGACATGTAAGGATTCAGACTAGGCAGCATCTAAACATCTCTGTCTCAGCTAAAAGCTTACGTCTTGTGTACTGGAAAGCCTTGATTTACCAAGTACCACCATGATTACTCCCACGGCTACTATATAATAGGACCACGTTTATCTTCATGCCATTGGGCCTTCTTTTAAAATCCTAAATGTTTTGACTGTACAACAACATACCCATGACTGTGCCTTGAGTAACTTCAAAGAAGAGAAACTAGGGTTGTGAGCTGTCGCTCACGAAAGCTTATGCTCAAATAAATCTGTTAGTGTCTAAGGTGCCACAAGTACTCCTTTTCTTTTTAGGGTTTCTACTATTACTCCTCAATGGAGAAATTTCCACACCCACCTGATTCCAGTTCCTTCTTTATCAATTTTGTCTTCTGACTAATAAGTGCTTATTCTATCCAGCCAGAGTGAATCTAATCTTGTAACATTTTGTTGTGATCAGCTGGTCCGCTAAAAAACTATTCCTGAGCAGGCCAATTTGAGGAAAGGCATAAGACCCTTTCAAAGTTAAAAAAAAAAAAAAAAAAAGCATATGTTCTAGGCTCCCCCTCCCCCTTTTTTACGTATGTTCAATAAATGTTAATGTCTTTTTGCTCAGTGACATATAGTAAACTAAATTACTTTGCAACAGATCAAATTCAAATTACTGTTAACATTATGGCAGTAAGAAAAATAGTAAGGGAACTCAATTTATGACTGTCCTACTAATCAACCAAGCCCTACTAATCATCCAAAACACACTTCAATATTAATTTCATCCAGCAAATTACATACCAACATAAAATCAAATGAAATGGACACCACCACTCTGACCCCCCACTTTGTACCCATGCTGAAACTAATGTACAGTTTCATAATAGAATGATTTCATAGTAGAATAATTACTAGCCAAAATTGGTCCAGTTGCATTGTTCTGTCAGATCTTGATAAATATAAAGATCACATGTTTCATCCTTGATTTAATAATATCCTTAGGGTCTGATCCATCAGCATAGATCTGATTGCAAGAAAAGGGAGTTACTTCATTTTAACAGTTGAATGGTTATATTTGGGCTCAGCAGAATTCAATTCTTATTTTTAAGCATTTCTCTAGATGATCTATTTAAATTTTCAGAGTTGTGGGAAATTATCCCGTCCCCCCAAGACAACAGGGGGTCAGTATAGTTACTTAATGAGAGTAAACGCTCAGATTCAAAAAATTAAAGCTTTATAACTGTTAAAACACAAACTGTCAATAGCACATGACAGAGTATGCAAATGAAATATCCTTAAATTCTCTCAAGCATTTTTCTTTTTTTGCCTATCTGTAAATTTTAATCATCAATGGAAACACTGTCAGATTCTGTGTGCTGTACAATCAATGTTTACCAATAAAAACTGAATCCTTCCAAGCCTAGTTATTGTCACCTCACTGTATAGGAGTCATGATATATTTCAAAATATTTTTAATATCTAAAAATATTAGACAATGTACTTACTGAACAGACTCGGGTGTTCCAGTTAACATGCAAGATCTATCAGGCAGGCCACCGCTATCTATAAAGTTTGTAAAATGAAACAGATTTAACAATTCTGTTTAACTTGCAAGGAATCAGTAGCTAAGTAAATAGAAAAGTGTGCTGTGAGAAGTTTTAACAGCTCACTAAACCCATAAAATCATGGTCTCAAGATTTAGGACTGTTTTGCACTTTAATGACTTGTACCTATTCCCAGTTGTTAAAGGTGAGAGTAAATTTAGTTGAAAAACCAGTGATCAGTGTTCTGTGTTCCAAACTTGTTACCACTAAATGTATATACCTCAAAAGGAAATAATTACCAGGAGCAATCTGTATTTTGCATCCAGATTCTTGCTGTATGCGTGAAATCTGTTCTCCTCCTCTGCCAATTACTTGAGGGATAAAAACAAAGGATGTTACTAGCAATAGCAACATTTGTTAAGACCTCCATTATATTGTATATTATATTTATATTACTTACTGAATCCAACCATTCCATCTGGAACTTTGTACTCCTCTGTCATTACAGACCTAAAAAAAGACAAAATACAACAGAAGATAACATATGTTGATACACTGGCTTAGAATTTAGAGAATATTTTTCATCTGTATAGAAAGACTGGCTACCTTCCCCCCCATCACACCAAGGAGGAGAAACATACTGTAACATTTTGGGGAAATGCCTTTCTTTGGGTGCATCTACCATATCTAGTGACTTGAACGGGGGCCAAGCGAATGCATTTTTACTTCAGAAGTTTTGCCCATTTTAACCTGAAATCCTTCAGGTTAAACAGAAATTAAAAGCCAAAATGACAATCTGTAAACACAGAATACCAAACAGTAATATTAGAAGGCAAAAATGACATTCCTAACTAACATAGTATAAATTTAGATACTAGATTTAGGTACTTCATAATAGATCAATTATTTCTGCTAAAAATCAGTTTGGCATGAAAAAGACGAGTATATTCCATGATTATTAAAACATTGCTATTTATGTAGCATTCGAAGTATGTTACAGATATACGAAAATATAGGCCATTTCCAGATCAAAACAGAAAAATGTACATCAAGAATTAAAAGGGTATGTGGGCAGGTTGGTTAGTTTTGTGGTTTTGTTTTTTTTGAGGCAGCAGAGGGAATAAGCAAGATGAGAAGAATGCAGCATAAGTTATTGATCAGATATGTTTGACATAAATTTTGTTAACTCCAGTATTTTTCCCCTTAAGAAATCTTTCCCTTTTGCTTTTAAAATAATCTTTTCCTTCAGACCAGACGCCTGACCCTATGGACCACACCTCTCACATATGACATATCAAGTCCCCATACAGTTCTAGATATGGGATAGGACACTAATCCTATTACATACATTTCAAATATTTAGCTTATGCCTGTTGTGGCTAAATTCTAACAAGCATCACTTAACAATTGTGTTTCATTATTATGTTCAAATGTTGTCTTTTTGGAAGAAAAGTTTTGAAGTTGTTGCCTGGAAATGCATCAATACTAAAAAGCAACTGTAAACAAAACGTTAATTATGGCTCCTACCTTTGTTGCTGATGCATCGGGGGTAGCTGGGTTCCAAAAGCTACACATAAAAAAGTATTTTTAAAGTTAAATTCACAAATAAAGGCAAAATTCTCTCACAATTACGCCAAACATTTCCCACTAACAAACTATCTGTAGCTACTTCTGACAAAACTGGGTTTTAAAAAAAGGTGCCGAGAAGTAGTATAAAAGTATAGCTGAAAAAGACAAACTGATTCTCAGCTCTGTTGCTAGTACATAATATTCCACAACTATCAAGCTGCTCAAAAACAAGCCTATTTTACTTAAAGAAACTTGAGACATACAGGTCAAGTCACCGTGATCTCACTGGTCCAACATTACCTACCAGAATACTGCATCATACCCTTGCTCTGAAAATGTACACTTGTTTAGGTTTTATTCACAATGAAATAAAAATTACTTACAGTCATTCTGAGGAGCAACTTTCTTAGCATCTGGTTGATCTGCAAAATTAAGATTTTTTTTATTTTTTGCCAAGAAACAAGAATCTTTTAAACTAGTGGCTGTCCCATAGTGTGAATCGTAACTTTTCCAGTGTACTTTTTAGTCAATGAATTTGTTTTTGTTTTGGTAATTTCAGGGAATAGATCTGAATAAAAAAGAAACCTTATAAGCATTCAGCACTTGGTTAGTATACTTGAAAAGAAGTTAAGTATTTCCATTTGTCTATTCAGTGGTTTAAGAAAAGCACAGTTTTAGAAACATATTGTAGATTGGATATCCATAAACAGTCAATGAAACTTTGCTAAGACAAGCAACGACATTTAACTATGCTCCTAATAACTGGCTTCTCAAGCTAATGATGCTTCTACAGTAAGAACTGAAGAAAAAAGTCCACCAAAATCAGTATGAAAATAAACAATGGCTTAAAAAAAATCTGACAAGTGACCACAAATCTACACAGAATATCAAAATTGAAGAAGCAACAATAATCCCACTGCAATGCAATCTGAGTCTGAACTGTGGTATGAAATTCCTATCCAAATATCAAGCATTTCACAGCATAAAACTTCAAAAAAAAAAAAAAAAAAAAAAAAGAAAAAAAAAAAAAAAAAAAGATTCAAAGCAACTCTATCACTACCATCCAAAATCCTTTTTGTACAAGTAAGCGAAATGAAAGGTATAGACAACCTATATCTGAAAAGACTACTTCAGATGTTTCCTTCCCCACCCCAAATTCAAAGTTATGTGATGAACCATCATAATTTATGTGTAGCAAAAAGTCAGACACATAATCCAAGAAATATTTGTGTCATCCATTTCAAAAGATCCACTAGTTTATTTCACGTTTACATACTAAACACAGGTAATAAATAAAAATTCCTGCCTTTAAAAGGAGAGGGCATTCCCTCCCAGTGTGTTGTACTGCTCGGACTTGTCCAAGAGCCATCTACACATAAAATAAAAAGAATACATTACATACATCATCTGAAGCATCATTAGCTCATTTTTTGTATATTAAAAACCTCACTATTAATAGAAAAACACTTTAATAAAGAACACAAGAACTCCTGGTCTAAAGGCCTTAGTTACATTCTGTAAACTGAGTCACAATCCTCTTAAAGGAAAAAAAAAGTCACAACTCATATAGACCTAACGAAGTATTTTCAACACCTCCAAGTTCAGAAGTTTCTCTCCATAATTTAGTCAGGATTAGGTGTGTATATTAAACATATCAAACCCTGTTAAGTTCACACTAGTTGTGTAGTAAAAATCAGAAGACACGCAACACAATTCAGTAGCAAACTTTTCTGCAACGTAAAGCAAGTCAAAAAGTGGAAACCGCAACAAAAGTAGAGGAAATATTACAGCATGATCTTATCAGGGTTCATGCGTGCTGTATGCTGAAGTTAGTAAAAGATTTAGCCAAGTCTAATAAGTAGAATTTTTATTTTCCTGTCTTTTTTTTTTTTTTTTTTAAAGTCCTATGCCTTTACAATGAAATGCATTAAAAGTAGTTTACCAGATGCTGTACCTTCAATAATAAATCAGATGTCAAACAAGCACAGGTTTGAAAGGTGACCACCTTCAACACTTTAACAGTGAATAAAAGATTTCAGCAATGTACCTGAATAAAGGTATCTTCAAAATTATTTATATTTCACCTACCTTACGCATGGGTTCTCCTCTTAAAATTTACAGCATCATGTCAGTACAAGAGGTTAGGTAATGGTCTAAGAATTGATTTACACAAACTTCAGATTTAAGACCGAAATAGCACCACTGATTCCTAAACAAAAATCCATATTAAAACCAAATTGGAAAAGCGTGTTGTGTTCTTTAAAGAGATCACATGTCGGTACAATATGGATCTATACTATTGTTTCTGTGGAAAATTTATGACGTTTTTAACACAGCTGCCATGAAAAAAAATGAATTAAGGTAGTATACACATTTACTGACATCATACCTCCATCCTCAAGAGGTCTTTTTTGTCCTCCATAACCATAATCATTTGAATTCATTGATGTGCCTCCATCACCTCCAATTTTCGCTGCAATCTAGATAAAAGAAAAAATAATGAAAACAAACATGAGATGTTTTTGATCTACAAGGTAAAAAGTATCAGTCCTGGTTTGCCCTAGTTTTGCTGGAGGACCTAGTGAAGCTTTAAAAAATATATATTAAAAACAATATATATCTTAAAGACAAAAAAAGTCCCTCTCTTTGCATATCATCTTTGAGCACTCTTGATCAAATGATCATTTTGCTTTAAGAAGGGCATTTAAAAAGCATTTTGCATTGTTACAGATTTCTCTTTAATAAAAGGAAGCTGTTGTACTCATGAGGTTACACCCATGGAGGAAGTAGAAGAGACTGCTGCATGTAGAAATGGCAGCACCATGTATTTTCCCACAAAGTCTTTGAGATTTTACATCTCATTAAAACAGGTTGAGTTGCCTAACAGAGAACCCAACTCCTAGCAAGATCACCTTAAATCTCATTAAGTGCATTATCTGACTTTTCCTTTATAAATACTGTGTAAAGTTACATCTTGCTTGTTACCAAATGAAGTCTTATGTGCAGCCAACAACTGAAAAAACGACAAATGTGCAAATCAAGCTAAAAGTAAAACTAAAGGACTTAAGAGTACTCAACGGAAACTTGTAGTTTTAGCTCACGACCCACGAACCCAACACTTCCAAACTAGTTTGCGCAGGTTACCAGGATACTAGAGCGCCTCAGGCAACATAATAAATGGAACTGAAACTGAGCCTTTTAGAACACGAGGGGGGATCCTCGCCGAAAACCTGCGACGAGCAGCTCCTTCTCCCTCGCCTCCCCAACCACCGCAGGGCGGTGACCCAGGGCTGCGCGCTGCCTGGGATAAGGCGTTTTCAATAACTCGCTGTGATTTCACTATTTGCACCCCCCCAAACGGCTCAGGAGGGAAGGCCGGGAAAAGTCCTCTCCCTTCACGCAGCTTGCGGGAACAGGGGGAAGGTTATCGGGGATCGAGCAGGGGTAGGGGACCCCCGCATCCCATTGTGTGGTGAAGGGGCAAGAGCGCTGCGGGAGCTCCCCACTGTGTGTGCTGGGGAGGCAGAGGAAACCCTCCTCACTGCGTACATAGGACGGGGAATGGGGAACAAACAAATAACACCGCCATCAACGTGCGCGGAAAACGAGGCCCCTGAAAGGGAAGCGGACCCAGCCGTGCGCCAGCCCCCTCCCCAGAACAAACCCCTGAAGCCGCCCGATACGCTTCAAAGGATTTGCGTAGGACCCACCCTATTTGTCCCAGAATAGGTAGAGGGGAGATTCCGGCGCTGAGGATCAGAGGAGGCCCTATCGGGGGCCGCTTCCAGGCCCCCGAGCCTGAGGGTCGGAGCTACCGATGGGCTGGTGCCCACATTACACACCTGCCTAGCCCGCTGCAGTGCGTCTTTAAAGGCATCGTTGACTCCCCCACCTCCACCTCCTCCTCCTCCTCCGGGCGCGCCCGAAGCAGGAGGGGGCACCGTGGAATAATCCGCCATAGCCGCTCCGCCGCCGCTTCCTGCCCTACTCGCTGCCTGCCAAGAAAGAAAGAAAATGGCGGCGGGCGGGAGCCTTTCACATTCCTGCGCGGCATCGTGCTCGGGGGAGGGGGGGGGGGCATGGAAGGAGAGGAAACCTCGCGAGACCTCTAGAAGGGAGGGGTGGGATTTCGTGGAGGCTCATGTGGAAAAAGAGGAAATCTCGTGAGACTTCATTCTCACAGTATATGTGTGGGGTCGAGTTAGACCTCCAGAGATGTCCTTCAGGGCCATGGAGGGGGAAATCTTCAGAGGCGGGGATATAAGGCTCGCGATAGTTCCTTCCTGGAACGGGATTTAAGAGGCCCCATTGCGTTACGATGGGGGGGGGGGTAGGTTTCACGCGATGACTTTTATCGGTTCGGGATTTGGGAGATAGCAGAAAGGACACAGGTGGATCTCGCGAGCTTTAAAGGTTAATTTTCAGCGCTTAGGGCTACAGCCTCCGCTGGAGCGCGGTGGCTGCTGGGAGCTCGGTTGGCTCGCGACCTGCTAACGCTGACCGAGACTTCTGCGGCTTCCAGTGAGTCGGGGAGGGTGAGCGGGGCGAGGCTGAGCGGCTGCTGCCGTTCGCAGGCCGCTGGGGTCTGACCGCCGCCACCCCTTGGGCGCTCGCCCCATGCTGAGGGAGCTCGTTGCCTCCAGGGCACAGTCCGCCCCCCCCCCCCGAGTTCCATCGTGGGGTGACATCGGGGGGCGCAGAGCTTGCGCGGCTCTGGGGCTGCCCCCCGGGGCATGCTGGGGTGGTGCCCCTGGGGAGGAGAAGTATCACTTGCCAGGTGACTGCCGCCGAAAGCGGATGCAGCGAAGCCGGTCAGCCCGCTGGGCGTGGGGCTTGCAGCGCTGCGGGGGGTGTTGTGGCGGGGGCTTGTAAACTGGCGTTGCTGTTGAGCGCGGTGACGGAGCAAATATCACCCCCGTGTAACGCGCTCAGGCTACCTCGAACGAGCGCTTCGTTGCGACGGGAGGAGGGATGGGGCCGGAGGCCTGTGGGGCCGCGCCGCAGCGAGGATTGAGGAAACTGGCAGCGCCTCAAGAGACAGCCGCGGTGGTGGTTGTTCGCTGCAGCCTGGGGAGGTGAGCCTGCAGGATATGCAGAGCTATTCTGACCAGCTCAGGACCTCAGACGTCTTTGCTTGGCATGCCAGCCAAGGTGGGGATGGAGGGGAACAAAAGCCTAGGTTGTTCTTTTGGGGTTTATGACTCTTTGTCTAGCGTGGCTTCTCTTTTCAGCTAAATGCAACCTGGCTTTTTAAGATGTACCACCACTGAATTCTTTGTGCCCCTTGCCTTGGCATTTAACTACTCTCATTCAGTCAGAACTATTTTTGATTTCTTTTTAGGATATTCCTTTTTCAGGATGGTGTGCTCTGTTGATTCTAGCATCTTCCTACTAGGCTTCAGCTCCTGCAGGAGATGGATCGTGTCTCCCGCTTCTTCTATGCCCTGGAGTAGAAGACGGGAGGTTAAGAAGCATGTCATCTGCCTTTTGGCAGCTGATGGTACCCCTCTCAAGGATCCAGTGGAGATGTGCGAGAGGGCCCAGGCCTTCTATGCTGGCCTTTTCTCCCCAGATCCTGCCAATGCTTGCCGAGTGCTTTGGGACAAACTCCCAACGGTCAGCATGGGCAATCGGGACCGGCTGGCGCTGCCTCTCACTCTGGCCAAGTTCTTGGAAGCCCTCTATCTCATGCCCACTAATAAATTTCTGGGCATGGACGGGCTGACCGTGGAGTTCTACCGCATGTTCTGGGACGTCCTTGTCCACCGTCTGGGCCAAGTGATTGGAGAGCAGGATCCTCCCCCTGTCATGCAGGTGCGCAGTGCTAGCCTTGCTGCCAATGAAGGGGGACCTCTGCAATCTCCGGAACTGGCATCCCATCTTCCTCCTCAGCACAGACTACAAGGTCATAGCAAAGGCCATCTCACTGCGGTTGCAGTCTGTGCTGGCGGACCTGGTCCATCCTGACCAGACCTACACCGCCCCGGGCTGTACCATCTTTGATAATCTTTACCTGGTCCGGGATCTCTTAGAGCTTGGGTGTAGGGATGGTCTGTCGTTCACCCTCTTGTCCTTGGATCAGGAGAAGGTGTTCGACTGGATGGACCAAAGGTGTGTCCTGGGCGCTCTGTGGGCATTCGGCTTCAGGCCTCAGTTTGTAGGGTTTCTCCAGGTGCTGTATGCTTCTGTACAGTGTTTAATCAGACTCAACTGGCTCTTGACGGCACCTGTGAGCTTTGGGCAAGGAGTCAGCTGTATACTCTGGCCATTGAGCCCATCTCCTTCGTAAGAGGTTGACGGGGTTGGTGCTGCATGAGCCGGAGGTGAGGCTGGTCCTGGCAGTGTATGCCAATGACGTGCTTCTCATGGTCCAGGACCTGGATGACCTGGTGCAGGTGGAGGCTTGACAAGCTATTTATTCAGCAGCCTCCTCCGCCCAGGTCAGCTGGGTCAAGAGCTCTGTCTGGGTGGCAGGTGAGCTCCCTCCCTCCCACCCACACTTCAGGTCATCCGGTGGAGCCTGGGTCCGCTGCTCTATCTTGGTATTTACCTTTCTGCCACACATCCATCTCCGCAGGAGAACTGGCAAGGTTTAGAGGGCAGGGTGGCTGCGGGGCTGAACAGGACTGCTCCAGTACCTCTTCCTCCAGGGGAGCGTGCTGGTGCTTAACCAATTGGTCCTGTCCATGCACTGGCACCGGCTCAACAACCTGTGCCCGCCACTGGGGTTCCTGGCCAATCTCCAGAGGTTGGGTCTGGAGGATTTTTTTGGCCAGGACTGCACTGGATCTCTGCAGGGGTTCTCTATCTTCCCCTGAAGGAGGGAGGACAGGGCCTGATGTGCATGCGCATACAGGTCCATGTCTTCCGCCTCCAGGTTCTGCAGAGACTCCTTTATAGTGCAAGCGGCTTGGCATGGAGCATATTGGCACGGAGCATATTGGCACATGCATTCCTCTGCCTCCTGTGAGAGCTCTGATATGACCGGCAGCTCTTTTTTTCTCCATCCAAGAGGTCTTCTGTGAGACCTCTCTGAGCTGCCGGTCTTCTACCAGGACTTTCTCTGGACCTGGAGGCTGGTTTCAGCAACCAGGTCCATGGCGGCTACCAAGGAGGTAGATCTTCTTATGGAGCCCCTGTTACCAATCTTCAGCTCTGTGTGCAGGTGGTGGAGTCCCCCTTGGTGTGCTAGAGGTTGGTCCTGGGGGGAGTCACCGTGATCGGAGAGCTCCTGGACTACATCTTGGGGGGGGGGGGGTTGGGTGGATCCCCTGGTGCTTGGTCAGCTCATGGGGCTCTCCACCCTTAAAAAACCCCCGGCACATTCTCCAGGACGTGGAGGCAGCCCTGCCCCCCACAGCTCAGGTTTTCCTCGAGCTGGTCCTGCAAGAAGGTGTGCCCTGCCTGCCTCTCACTCCAGGCCCTCCGGATCTTTCCATCGGCCCCCTGCCCCACGAGCCTTCCCGGCCTCCCCCTCCTCATACCCTGAGCCAGCTGCGTGTCTTGCAGCCAGGCCGTTTTTGAACTGTGCCAAGAGACCATCTGTATGTGCTCGTGCTGCACACGCTTCATTTCCCCACCCTCATGTCCCACCCAGATACCAAATGGCGGGACCTTTTACCAGCAGTGGAGGGTGGGGAACCCCGATGGGCCAGCTTATATTCCATCTTAGTCCTGCGGCCTGCCAGGGATATCAGCTGCCGGCTCCTATATGGGGCTGTGAGCATGGTCATGTACTTGGCACGGTTCACCTCTGTCCCTGAAGCCTGTCCCTTCTGTGGTGTGAGGGAGACTCTGGCACATAGGTATCTTCAGTGCACCACACTACAGCCCCAGTTCCTCTGGGCAGCATCCGCCGGCTCTCTTGATGCCTTTGAGGAGCAGTGGGTGCTGTCTGAGGTTCTCTGATGGTGTCCCCTTCTGTTTCCCTAGTTTTGGCCCTTTGACCCCCACGCCTGTTCCCGTTATTGCCTTTGTTGTCCCCTGAACTTGGTTGGATTCTGGGTCCAGTAGCTTCTCCCTAGGCCGGGGAGGGGCTTTTAGCAGTGGGCGAGCTAGCGCCCGCCCACTTTCCAGTGCTCAAAAGGACCAGGCTTACTAACTTCTGTAGTGTCAGTGTCTTTATCTTTAGATAAGCTATTACCAACAGGAGAGTGGGGTGGGGGGGAGAGAGAACCTTTTGTAGTGGTAAACACCCATTTTTTTTTTCATGCTTTGTGTGTATAAAAAGATCTTCTATACTTTCCACAGTATGCATCCGATGAAGTGAGCTGTAGCTCACGAAAGCTTATGCTCAAATAAATTGGTTAGTCTCTAAGGTGCCACAAGTACTCCTATTCTTGTTGCGAATACAGACTAACACTGTTACTCTGAAACCTGTCTGTATCTGGTATCCAGTTAATGCTGAGGGTTGATAGCAAGCATCTGATAAGGTTTTAAAAAAGTGGATTTGTCATATCCTTGGTTACAAGTCTCTTTGAGCTTGTGTCAATTTGGAACCAGGTGGCAGAAATGAAACCTATTGTTTTTAACATAGACCTTCCTTGAAGTTCTCGAACCACAGCCAGGAACAAGCATTTTTGGCCAGAAGCAATTGGCAATCAATTAACATGTTGCAACATGACAAAAAATGAGCTGTAGATGAGGCTGAAGGCCATAGAGCGTGGCTAACTTTTTAGCCCTAATAGCTAGTAATATAAGAAAGTAATAGCAATACTTAAATTGGACCACTAAGTGTGTGTGTTTGTGGGTGGAAAGTACTATAGCTTACACCTGGTGTGTCTTGCCAGGGGATGGCCTACTGCTGTGTATTCTTCTGTTACAAATCATATATTTCCAATTTAAACTTAGGTTTGAGTTAAGTAGATTCTATTTTTGCACATTTTTATTTGTCACTTTGGCAACATTGTGCTTTTATTATTTAACAGATGTTTAGATGAAAACAGTATTTTTTTTAATATGACTGGCTTTTTAATTTAAGTAGGATCTATTGACTTGTACTGGTAACACACATAAAGAGGGAACAACTGGAGTTGTTCCAGGAAAAAGAGAATTCCTTTTCC